GGAATTCCCCCAAATAACTTTCCTCATAATGCTTGAGATTTTTTGAGTCAAATTGCAACCACAAACCTGTGTATAAACAACGTAAGCTGTGAAAATGAAGGTGAGCAGCACTGCTTTGATCCTCAAGCACAGGTCACTTTAAATGAAGAGGCAGTAACAATAAGCAAGTTAATATTAACTGGCTTAGTTACTTCATATCCTCAAGTTCTTTGTAAATGTTATGTTTCCATATCAACTTATGTTTTGTTGAAGTTGTGGGGAATTAATGCTAAAATCTTACTTCAGTGTCCCCTTTGCAGGTCCATTTTCTTAACATAGCAGTTTTTTTACTTGTGCCTTTCAGGATGTATTGGAGCAGAAATGATATTGATCTTTGTTTAATGAAGACTTTCTGTGTACCAGATTTTCAGAAAGCGGTATCTTTGYCTTCTGTGCAATGTTTTCTAAGAGTTTGCTTTGTGTCTTCCTTAGGAGATATTACAGGTAGGAAACAGGAAAGGAGACTGAAGTGCTCTGGGGAAATATGACTATCAAAACAGGTTAACTTTTTGTAGTAGTGTGCCCAGCTGACTGGCCCTCTTCCTGACCAGAAATGAAACAGTTTTGAGAACCTTGCATTGTGAAGGAGCAATTATTTCAGGGTTACCTGGCCTTAGGTTTAATGACATTGTAAYCCATGCCAGTGGTTTTTTAAGGCAAAAGAAGAGAAAGTGGGCGGGCTGTTAGTCACTGACCTACCCTCGCTGCCATAGCGATTAAACAAAAATCACTGTCTTTTTCAGTAAGTGATACTCTTTATTCTTTGATTTTTGWTTCGAGTTCAAAATAGCCTTTGGCTGCAAACAACACCAGTATTCTGAAACCTCTCATTTTCTATTTCATTTTCTTTCTGTAAACAGTACGCTGTTCTAGAGTTCCATTTAAAAAATAGTTTCTTTTTATTGTACTCTGTAATGTTTAAGTGTTTGGAGGTTTTTTGTTTGTTTGTCAGATGTGCGCTATACTGCCATAGCTTCCTGTAGGCGAAGCAYGGAGGTGACTACCACTGAATTCTGATTTAGAGAGGACTGTTCTCTGCTGTGTCAGACTGGCTAGTATTATGTTAGTCAGTGAGATTGATCCCCTCATAGTCAGAAACAAACTCACAAAACAAATGCCCATTTAAAGGAATAGCTAAATGTAAACTTGCATCAGTGTAATAAACACCCTAATTTATGAACATGCAGGAGCAGAAGAGTCACGTACACAGCAGCGCAATCTGTGCTGGACTGTCAGGACATACTCAAAGTCAAAGCTATTTTGAGTTACTTAATATCAGAAGTGGCTGGAGGCTGCTAAGTGCCAAACTAAAATGCTCTGTATTGTCTCAAATGCCCTTTTAGTTCAGGCCTTATTGTTGCTGAATCAAAAACCCTTCAAAGTTAGAAAGCTTTGTAGCTGTCATTACATGCACTGGAAAGCATTAAACAGAATGTAGTAAAAAAAGAAGAAAAGTTATTTTACTAGAGTGGCGAACAGCAAAAGACAAAACCCTGATTTTACTGCTTGTGGCTGCAGTGGGAGACAAGACAATTTGTTTTGACCAGGAGGTCAAAAAATTGCTCAGAAGGGAGAATTCAAGAAGCTATAAAGCTGTGGAAATCTGAAAGGCTGTAGGGATTAGTAAGATCTCACTATCTACTTGAAACACTAAGAAATATTCTGCCTTACAGAATTGCCTTAAAGGAAGGTGGCAGTTGCTGGGTTGTCAGTGCACCTGGGATCAGTACTTCAGTTGGATTCTCAGACTGGAATTGCATTAAGAATATCAAGCTCTCTGATATCACATAAGAACTTGTTCCTTACACACTGTCGTCATAACACACCAAGCAAACTGCTTCCATTGTGTTTTTGCAAAGCGGCAGCGCGTTCTGTCTTGACACAGCGCGTGATGCTGACTCAAAACAGGCTGAAAAGATCCAGCGGCTCCTGCCTTTCTCGTTCTGACCATCCTCTGTATGACTGGTGTGCACAGGCAAGTTGTGCTTCTGACAGGCTGAGCAGCAACCCCCACACAATGTTCAGCTTTTGTCAGGTGAGAAGAGCTAGCTTGCTTTCTTGCTTGAAGAGTCCATGCCCTGTGTGTGAGCAATAGTCCTGTAGAGGGTGAGGCAAAAAGAACAGTATTAAGAGGAAGGTAATAGTTACAGCACAGCATGGCGTACCCAAGAAAAGAAAAGCCAGATAGCTGAAGTGCTGATAGGAGGTCTGCTGTTGCAGGACCAATTTCAGCACAGGATGTCCTGAATTGTAAGTACTTGGCTGACCGTCTCACAAAATCACTCGGCTGCTGTGGCATCATGGCCTCTGGTACCCAGGAGAGGTAGATTAAAGCTATTTTGGGTATGCTCACATGTATTATCTCCCTTTCTAGCCACAGATGAAATGCAGCCTGAGAGGGCACTTGAGAGTATCTCTGCAGCCTGCCAGCTCAGCTCTGCTTAGTGTAAGTGGAAGCTCTTGGAGGTGTCAGGGGCTTATCTTACAGGTCCCCCAAGTGTTCGTTTAGGGCGAGCTTTGTTATCCAGTTAAAATCAAGCAGCAGCATTTTGTTTTGGCTTTTATTTATTTTCCAAATGCAGTAAATTGAAACTGCAGAAAGTTTGCTCTACGTGTGATAGAAAGATTTCCCTGCACCTATAGTCCTGTCTCTGCTTTCCCCCCAGGACAAAGCTGTACGCAGCTGAGCTCTGCAAGCAGAATCCTTACTCCGGGCTGAAGCTTATCCGCACTRTTCCTTCGTTTCTGTTCTGTGCCTTCTAGAGATGTGTAGGGTGAATTTTTGCCTCATGGCTTATCCTGTGAAATCCTTTTCTTCCTTTTCTTCTGCATGTTAATTTSTCCAGATTTTTTTTAGTATGATTTTCATTTTGGGACTGTTAGGTGTTTGTTGCAGGAAGAAGGATGGCCAATGGCTTAAGAAACAGTAACTTAAATATTGTCTGTGATGTCTGTCACAATGTAACATACAAAATGCAGTTGCATTTTGTTGTAAAAATGTAACCAAGGGAAATATAAATGCTGCTGCTTCCATGAAGTAGGTGGATTTGTTTCCTAGTGGTCCTTACTGTTGTCTACACTTTCCATTCKTTATGGTAATATGTGTTACAGTCTCTGGTAGCTGATTGCGTTTGTCGCATCTCTGCTTTTCAGCATTTCTGACTAGGGAAAGGGACATTTTCCCTTAATAGTCTCTGATCCCGTCCCCCTGCCCCCTCCCCCCCCCCAAAAAAAAAGAAAAAAAAATTGAGGTGCTTGTTCCTCGATGCTTTATTTCTGGTGCTAGAGAGTGCTTGATTCTCTAAAACTTTGCTCTTAATTGAGAAGAGGGAAGGACAAGTAACTTGGTGGTATCAAACTGGAGGCAAATGTAGCTCAAGTCCTAGAAAGAGTCACTGGCTTGTGTTACAAGCTGCAGTAGTCTAGGCTTCCCTGCGTAATTTTGTCTTTTGTAGATTAGGAATTCTTGGGGGCAGAGAGGATGTCTGTCCATCTGATGATAGCAGCATCCTCACTTGTATTTGAACGCTCAAGCACTCTGGGTGCTCCAAAGCAGGGGCGCTGGGGGCTCCGGTGGGACCATGTGTTCCCATCTCCAGGTGGTGCAGCAGCTGTGCCCCGTATGGTGCCTCCCAGAGCTCCTGCTAAGTGGCATTTACTCCCTACCCAGGGCAGACTTGTTTATCAGGGCACAGCTGTCACTATTGTACTCTACATTAACTCAGTTTTGCTCTCAACACAGTGTTTTCTCTTTAGTGCATTGAAAGCAGTGTGTGATGCTTCCAACCTGCCCACTTACTTTAGCCTGGGGATATTGAAGTATAATACCAGATATCCAACTGGTAGGAAATTTGGGAGGGCTGGGAGTTCACATATCTGTGAAAGCAGCAAGTATTCCCCAAACAATGTCTGCTTTTCTAAGAGATATGAAAAACTGTTGACTTGTCAAATGTAACTCTGTACCTACTGCTAAAATTAGTTTTTTCCATCAGTGGTACCCTGATTTATCCAGATTATTTATAAGGACCTTTAACAGGAAGGCTCAAGTGTTGGTATGTAACTGAACAGCAGAGAGTTTAGCTTGCTACACATTTAAGAAGGGCTGATCAGAAACCTACTTGATGAATTTGACTCTTATTGACTGATTTGTCCAACTTTGACATTTGTTCTCATTTTGCTTTTTTGACCCTTTATTGCAAACTGTTTGCTGGCTTATGTGGGGGGCTGAGCAGAGTCTTTTGGTAGCTGTTCAAGTACATTTGGGTACTCAGATAATCATATGTACTTTTTACAGACTAACAAAGTTTTTGTGTACTTTGTGTGCAGTACAAGTCATAGAAATACATAGGAGTTTATGTTTGTAAAAGTTAGAAACACTATTTCTAATATGAAGTAGCATTTACCTTGTTTCCACTACCTTCCTCCTATGAAAGTGAATAGAGGTGCGGAACAAAATGGTGTCATTGAAATTGCTATGAATTATTTTTCTTCTCTATTCCATCACAATAGCAGAGTGCAATAGGAGATGACACTGCATTATGRGTCAGTTTTAATTCATTTAAGAGCCTTAATAAATATATCTGACTTTTCTTCACTCAAAAATAGGTAATTCTTACTGCTTTTATCTCTAATGGAGATATAGAAAACTATAATTTCAATCAGATCATTCCAAATTAATGGGTATTTTTAAATACAGTCTTTTAGCATTATGCTGTTCTAATGACTTGACCCCTCAAAAGGGAATTAATGGCAAGCAGACATTGGCCTGGGTCTCTATGGAATTGAGTTAACTTCAAGCTTGTTTAATTTCTATTAATTTTGTTGTTCCATCCCTCCAGTAACAGCAATAGCAGTGGATGAGGAAAATATTTCTTTCATTGTAATTCTGAACAAGTTCTCTTGAATCAGTTTGTGCACCAGAAGATTTACCCTGCTGAGTTTTCCTTCCTTTTTCCATGCAGATCACCCCTGGCAGCAAAGCAGCCCAGTCGCAGATGAACCAAGGGGACCACGTGGTAGCCATTGATGGAGTCAACACTGACAGCATGACCCACCTAGAGGCCCAGAACAAGATCAAGTCGGCCAGCTACAATCTGAGCCTCACTCTTGAAAAGTATGTTGGGTTTTTGGTCTGGATGGCTATTCTGAAAATGTTATGACAAGTGTTTTGAGTGCATGGGGAGAACATGTCATTCACAAAGTGAGTATTTGCAGCATGTTGTGAGTCTGAATGGTATGGCACCAGCAGGGCTCTGTGTGTATGTGAAAGTGGCATTTCTCCAGCTGGTAGGATGAGGAGAAACGTGTAGCCTGAGTGCAGGAAAGAAAATCAGCAGGATCTGAAAAGGGGAGCCTTTCTCAGAGATACGAGCGAAGTTGCCTTACCACTGAGAAAGCAGAACCTCTTCAGGTAACAGGCCTCCTTTTTAGGAAACTTGTTCTCAGATTAGATAACCTTGCAGAGAGAATTTCCGTATGAGCTGCATTAATATTTAAACCTCTATAATTTTATGCAGTTAAGTAACTGCTATTTTTATTGCATTTTTAAGAAATAATTTTTACATAGCCTGGACAAAGACAGGTATTTAAAGCAGTAATTAGGCTATATTATGAATATATGAATTAAGGATCTAACAGATCTTATTCTGGGATTCACTGTAGATAAATTAGTAGAAAGAATAGACTAACATGTAAGGGACAAAGGTCCTATGCTGAGGTCTCCAAGGTAGAACAGTGTATTCTAAAGGAAAATATGTGGCTGAATTTCCCATATTGCTTTCAAAATATAACGTCTTTAAGTGAATGTTMTAGATAGCATTTCAAATAAATGCACAGGTTAGAAAGACACTAAGAATAAAAAGAACAATTTGTTAGCTTTACTGTGGGAATAATGGCCATATTTAAATATTTCATGAAAAGGAACTTATAAAAACTCTGAGAAAAGCTGAAACAAGTTGCATTTTTTCCTGTGGAATTTTTCTATGCATGGAATAATTTCTATCAGCTCATGTGCGTTTGTGTCTCTAGTCTATTAAGAAAGATTTAGACCCAAAGCTAAAGATTCTCTACCAAAAGCCTGACCCTAAACTTCCTGAATGGAGCATACCACATGTCAATATATGTTTGTATAGACTAGTAACTTTAGTTAAGATGCATTCTCACAAGAGAGAAAAAAAAAAAAAAAAGGCAGAATCAAGTGATATGAAATAYTGAGCCTTAAGTCAGGTAATGTCTGTTAGCAAGTAAGCAATTTCATGGATACTCCTAGTCTTTTCATACAGATTGGTAGTATCWCCTTCTGTTTTCTCTTGCTTTTTAATGTGAGCTATTGGTCTTCATTCAGCTTTGCTACAATCACATAGAAAAAGCAAACATCAGAGACTGAAAAGTAACTTTTATTTTATAATTGTGGACTTGATTCTAAGTTATTCATAAAGGGGCTATTCATAAACTTGTGCTCTGAGGATTTAAGCAGGCTTTCGGTCTGTACAATTCAGTATTTATGCAAGCTATACCCTTTCATCATGTGAGCTCAGCCTACTGACTTATGCATAAAAACTTATTCAAGATCTAATATTCCAGTGTCTTGGGCATTTCCACAATATTCATCAAGTTAGATTAATCTCACCTCAGAAAATCATGAGGAATTCACCCACATACAAAAGGGTTGTAGCAGTGTGGTCTCCTGCTGAGAAATTACATGGATTTTTACTCTGAAGGGGGRAAAAAAACAATTGGAAAGATTGCATAAGTGAGTGAAAAATGAGAGCAATTACTAATAAAAAGTACCAGCTTGTCAATCCAATAAGAACAAAACAGGGGAAAGGCAAGATGCCCGAGGCCTTAGATAGCAGGAAAATGCTTGTGCTAAGAGATGACTTTAACTCTTTTTAGACTTGGCTTACAAAGGTGAAACTTGAGTGGGATGTTCCTATACTGCAAAAAAAAAAAAAAGCTAATTTCCATCAAATCTTAAAGAAATAAAGAAATGGGGGCACTCGAAGTTTTTGGATATGCATAAAAGTTTGAAAACGTGGGGARTCCTTTGACATTGAATGTGGGTAGATGTGCATTAGTAATTGAGATCAAGATGGAGCCTAGCTGTTGTGATGGGAAAAACTTAAGCCGTGAATTTAGTGACTTTGGACTTCAATGTGAGGTAGCCGCATGGCTCAGGAGAGTCTCAAGGTCGTGGAATTGCCTGCCGGGCAATCTGTGACTTGGTTTTGCTGCTTCAGCACTGGCAGTCAAAGAGCCCTAGCTTGCTTGCTTGTTCAGGCTTTTGKGCCAGGGGAGAAGCAGTGGAATGTGAAATCCAGATATATGCACTCCGAAATAAAGCTTTGTATTTTTCTAATAATTCTTAGCTCTTGGGAGTCGTGACGTTTCCTTTAATCGATCCTGGTCTTGAAGGTTTCATGAGCTCTGTTTATAACCTGGCACTTCAGATGAAGCTTGCTGCTGCTCAGTTTTATTATCACGCTAAATTCCCTGTGGGGTTTCTTTCTCAGAATGGGAACATGGTTGTTTTTTTTATGGCTGTCAAAATCTGTATGTGGAGTCAGCATTTGTACAGGGCAACAAATTACAGATGTGAAATGTGTAGCAAAAGAGAAACATTAAGAATGCCCATCTGAATGCCTACCTAAACCAGTCAGAGGCTCTTCTCTGACTGCACAAAATCAGGTTTTCAGTGCACATTTAACCTAGCTCTTCAGTGAACATTGAGGGTGCCWGTGCTGGACTGAACTGAGTTCTCCATGTTTTACTTGTACGTAACCGGTTATGGAATAAGGAATTTACTTATGTCCTGTGGTTTCTGACTGTTTCTGTTCCTAAACTCTGTTAAATTTGCCTCTTAGCGCCTCATCCTTACTATGGCTCTAGATAAAATTCTGCAAAACTCARGAGGGTTTTTGAGAGAAAAAAGCTCTCACCAGCAGTGCTAGAGGCATCATTTCATTTCATTCTGTCTGAATGAAACACTCTGTTCCCTGGCTGCTCATTTTCGGTTTCTGGCTGCTTAATTCTCTGGACCCTGCGGCTTGCTTCCTTGGACTGGGGAGTTTCTAGGACAACCCCAGGGAGGTTGTGGAGTCCCCAGGGAGGTTGTGGAGTCTCCTTCTCTGGAGGTCTTCAGAACCTGCCTGGATGCTARCCTGTGCCACTTGCTCTAGGTGTCCCTGCTGGAGCAGGAAGGTTGGGCTAGATGRTCTYTAGAGGTCCCCTCCAACCTTAACCATTCTGTGACTGCTTTGGGAAAGGTAAGGGATGCAGGCAATCAAGGGGGCAGAGAATTGAAGTGCTTGGGACATTGCTAGAGAAAAAAGCCTGTGTTCCAGTGGTGTGGAAAGGTATGGGAGCCTCCAGACTAGCTCTACTTAATTCAGTTGGTTCTGTGGATTCAAGAGACAAAGGACAGTAGTTTCTTTGCTGGGGAAGAGAGCAACAATGGAGTGAAAAGGGAAAAAGTCTTTTGCACTGTGCACTAGTACCCAACAGAACTCTACATAGTGTGTCACTCTTCAGGCAAACAGTGATGTTGATATTCTAAAACATTATAGACTTGGACAGGTGCAGCTAATCCCTTAGGTACCTCCACTACACTAGACATGCTAGTTACACTAGGCTGTGGAAGAGGCGATCATATTCCATAATGTTCTAGGTTGTAGTGGAAAAAGACACAGCTTTGATTTTAATCTTTTTGTGACTTGTTGGAATTTAGTTCTCAATCATTTTCAGTATTGGTTTCTGATCAGTTACTTGAGCTATACAGCTGCTCCCAGGCATTTTAGCTGCCTTTAAGTCCCATAGAGACTTGTTATCAGCTTATTGTCCTGCAGTGCTTAGTTCACAGGTGAAAAATGAAATGCATGGAAAAATCTACTTTTGTTACAGAGGAGTTTCTATTTTAATTCGCAGTAAGTGTAATGAAGGAGAATGCATTATTATTTGTCAGCACATTTCACTGCAGCATCCACAACATTCATTTGATCTTAACACGAGGAATCTGATCAGCCTCCTTGGAAAGGATTCACCAAATGTACTGGTTTAGTTTTGGAAAGTGCTGTAACATGAGTGCCTCTCATTCTGCTGGCCTAAACATTCCTGTGTCACTCTGTAAGTTGCCYGCCTTGGCGTCACCCTGCGCTGCTGGAGAAGAGCAGGGGAGGTGCAGGGCCTCTGCGCTGCTGCGTGCTGGCACAGCACCCCAGTGGTGCTCCARTTCACTTCCAGTCTGTCTTTTGCTGGAAAATCCAGGCTAAATAATCCATTTCTCTATTGAAAAGGCAAGATGAGAGGCGAAGCTACAAGAAATTTATTGCAAATATTAAGTAGATTTTCTTGTGTTACACCAAAGGATGCCTGATCCAGCGATATTTATTTCACACCTACTATAAATAAAGCATGTGGTGACAGCAAATTGCAAGCAAGAGAAATTCAGTGGTTATTGTAAACTGCTTTCCCTTGTCTGAAGCTGTGAATAGCCAACGGTTCTATGTGTGTTTTAGGTCTGCTGGTAGGCACTTCTRAATCCGAATCAGGTTTAGACTGAGTTTATGCTCAGAGGAGAACTGGARGAGCGTATGTATGCTAATTTATCAGAGAACTGAAACTCTATAAACAGTTGTTATGGAAGTACAGTCTAAAAATAGTGGTACTCTGAATATCATGCAGAAACATTGCCTTAAAAGCACTGTAGGCAATAATTGGTTTAAAAGAGAAAAAAAAATCTTGCTTAGAGCAATCCTGATAGATTCATGAGGCTAATAGTGTTTCCGTTCTGTCATGTTGTTGTACAGTTCTCTTCTTACAAGCCTCAGTGCCAATAATCCGCACTTTGGATAAGCATGGTGTGATATGATAGCAAAAAGCACCTGTCAAGATTTTTTTCTGTCTTGAATAGTTTGTGCAAAGAAAATGAAAGACCATGAAGTCTTTTAAGAGTGTAGAACCAGCTTCAGTTCTAGTTTACATGCAGTGTTTTCATGAGGGACAAGTGTTTTTTTTGAAGGTCTACAGTTAATCTCAACAGATGTTTCAAGAAATGATTGTGTGCCAAGAAGTACACAGACACACCTGGCCTGTCCATTTTCTTTTTGCTAGCTGTTTTAACAATGGTAATTTGCAATATGAATTTAATTATGCAGGAATACAAACAGTGATAGTAACCACAAACAAACCATATTTAACTGCTATGCAAGTGTTAATCTTTGTGACTGTCTTCTGGTGTGCAGAGTGAGAGCCATGGACAGTGGGCRTGTCCTGGATCTCACAAAACACCAGAAATCTCAAGATCTCAGAGGGAGGTAATTTCAGCAGTCAAGGTAGGACTTAAGAGCTTTCTCACATCTGCTGCTGCCATCTAGCTCTGCAGCCAAGCAAAAGAGAAGAGATAAGTTGGGATTGCTCACATTAGAGGCAGAATATGATCTCATGTGAATGTGGCTTTTATTTTCTCCTTTTTTGAAAGGAATGCTAGCAATAGTGATAATTCACTTGTGCTAGTGGCCAGCATTGTGAATGCATCTCATGGAATTCGTCTGTTGGATAAGAATAGGAGATTTGTGTTTGACAGGGTCAGCAGACTATTACTTTATTTTATTTAGAAATTTGTCTCAGGAACTTTTGAACCACCTGTATCCAAAACTTCTTCCCCAAACCTGCTGATGCAGGGAGCTCACAGTGTAAAAAAGCATATCGTTTTTTGTTAGTGGATTAAGAAGTTTACCATGTGTTATCATGGGCTGAGAGACTCTCATTCCTTGTGTGATAAAGGAATCCTATTCCATACCCAGTTGTCTCTGTACTCAGGTGCACTGAGGGCAGTAGGATTTATTAGATGTGAGGCTAGCATCTGAGCAGGGCTCTGAGTTACCATCTCTGAGTAGTAACGTCTAATGCTTTTAAAATTAATGAGCAACTTTTTTCCATGGAAAATGAAATAAAATATCAATGTCAGCCACTGCAGTAAATATATTCCTTACATGTGCAGTTTAATTTGGTGGACTTCTATTTTACACTCAGTTCATAAAGTGCCCTTGTTAGTTTTAGAAAAGAGCTTGGAAACTGTGGATAAATGCCAAGGCCTGAAAGGGCAATGAAGTCTTCATTACAAGAAGGTGTTCTGCTAAGGGATTAGAACAGTTCTCAGTGTACATCACTTTCTCTCCCTCCCCTCCACCATCTCTTAATACCTTCCTAGGAGGGATCTTAAAATGCAGCCCTTTATTTGAAAAGTGTTCTCTAGATGAGCTGAGGATGGTCTCCATGGGAACACATTGGAATCCATTGTGTGTGATACTGGACTGACCATGGAAGAGTCATGCCGGGTATCACTGCCCATCTTGAAGCCAACGGGCTGGTGCAGCTTACTCGAACATGACASTTTTAATCTTTCAGACAAGTAGTTATGGGCTGTGTTCTGAACAAGGAAGTCAATATCTTGCTGAAAATGATGCCGTAAGCAGGAGAGTCRCTAGGTACTAGGGTTAGGACCTTTTCTTATTTATTAATGTTGATAAGCTTAAGCACAGATGCATCAAAATACTAATTATACAGTTGAAGCTAATTGGAATGGATAATACAGTCTTTTTGAAAAGTGATAAAAGAAATAACTCCACCAAGTAAAATGCTAAACTTTACTATATTGATTTAGCCATTGGGTGTTTGTGAGGTTAGTAGTTTCTTTTTGGAGCCATTTTATTGGGAGCTCATTTTTTTTCCTCTAAACAGTTTAASTTGTCAGTGCCCCTGTTGTCTTGCCTGTCTCTGTCACCAGCAGCAGTTGGCCGCCTCTTTGCATCTGTGCTCCCCTTGGTGGGTGTCAGTTGCAGATGACAACCTGGAACACTGAGTACTGGCGCTGGCCTTGTCATCTGGTCTTCATTACTGCAGTGCCAACTTCAGATGGCACTTGAATTCCACTCAAAAGGAAGCAAATGACTGATGGTCATGGCCAGCTTTCTTTCCTCAAGACGTGGAGCTGAGTTGATAGTAAAAGTCTCTCTAAAATTCAATTTCTGTCAAGCTTAATTCTTTCTCCCACAAGTTTTACCATCTCCAGATGCTTATTGGCCCCCATCTCTTCTGCACTTTCTTCTTTTCGTCTCTCTGTCCTGYTTGTAATGTGTCCTATCTCCAGCAACTGAAGTGTAGCAGACATGCCAAGAGTAATTGTAAAGTCATAGGATTTACAGCATATTTGTAGATTTTACAGCATACAGTTTACAACRTATTTGTACAATCAGCTTATGTTTTCCTCAAAGCTTCAGGAAAAAGAGTAAATTACAGCAAGCAGCTGTTCATTATATTGCTGTATTATGGAGCAGTCTTTGAGTTCCCTCTCCATGGGAAGTGTTCTGGTCCTTCCTGTGAAGGACAATGCCCAATTACTCTATGCAGGCCCTCCTTTGTAGTGACAGGGAAAAGTGAATCTCAGTTCTGTAGGCAGTGGCTTTGCTGCTGGGGCATCCTATCCCGGTGGCGTAATTCACTGCTTAGCTCCTACAGAAAGGCAGTACACTACCTACCTAGATGGCAGGTATACTGCCTGATACACTAGGCATTAGTGTAGGAACTCGCCGGGTGGATGAGCCCTGCAGTTGCCTTGCTCAGTTTTCTGTCCCTGATAGATAGCTCTGTTAGGTATATCAGAGGAAAGTGCAATATACCTGTCAGTAAAGAAATAATGAACCTAACACGGAGAGCTTATACCTTCCACTATCAGCCGTTATTAAGTTGTGCCATGAAAAATGAGAATCTCTATTGCTACTTATTTTTTTCCCAGCCTAAAGCAGCTTTGGAGTTTTCATTATCTGTATAAATGTCTAATGATTTCTGAAACCCTACTAATCTCATGGTCTCGATGATGTTTTGCAACAATGAGTTTTACCTCGGGTTAATCAAGTACTCCAAGAAAAATTGTTTGCTTCTGTCAATTTTGTGCGTTGWCTTTTCAGTTTCATTTCAAGTTTAGGAGCGCAGCTTTATTTCTCTTTTTCTACCATCCATTATTTTCTAAGCCTCTGTAATGCCTTTCAATATTCATTTCCTCTCTAAAGTAAACAATTTCTAATATCTTAGTCATTTTTGTTTGAGTAATAAGTTTATTTTTCAGTCTTTTCATTTCATGCTTGTACCTTTGTCCAAATTTTGAAAAGTGATTTTTAAAGATGAGTATTCCAGGTCTAATATTTTGTAAATTGGCAACAGTATTACTTGTCTAATTTTGGTTATTTTTTTTGATTCTTAGTTCATTTTTCATATAATTTTTTCTGGTAAATCCCATGTGCACTGAGGAGTTTTCAGAGGGGTGTTTGATATAGGTTCTCACAAGACCTCCACAAATAAACTTTTACTTACCTGATTGTCCCAGAAGATTTCACAAAGTGATTTAGTTAACATTTGCCCAAGTGCTTCTGTGAAAGGGAGAACCAAGTGTTTTAAAAAATTTTTATAGGGTTTTTTTTTGGTTTGGTATTTGTTTTTTTAAGTGTGTTTGTGCACATTCTTGTCACAAACAGGAGAAGGAATGGCATTTGGAGAGGAGTATGGTGAGCTTGTTGGTGATATTTGTTGAAATTTGTTGGAACTCTTGTTGAAACTTAAATTGTCTAAAATGAAGCCCAGGTTTCGTCCTGCAGACAGACRAGTCTAAGTTAGTGTTTTGCTATAGCAGCTTAAGAGATCAAATTATAATCTGTTRAAGTTGATTTTGAGATGCCTCAGTATCAAGGTTTACTCTCTGCTTTTGAAGACTCTTTGAAGTGCTGTTTTCCAGAGTGCAGCCTGAGCCTGATGATTTTTTTCTTTTTTTTAACAGCTCTGCCTGACTGGCATTTATGAAAATACAGCCTGTCAGAAAATGTTGGAGAATAGAGGGCCTCCCAGATGTGAGGCTGCTTCCATAACCGGTGCTTTACATCATTCAGAGAAACCAAATCCAACTTATTTATTTTATTCAAGATATTTGCAAGTGAGGAGGTAGAAAAAAGCATGCTAATAACTAGCAAAAATCTAGGCTATGCTTAGCTTCCACTGTTGCAGAATTAGCTGTGAATTTCAAAATTAGATGTGAAAAATAGGAATCCTGATTAGCAATGTTTCTTTATTGTTTTTACTTCCCAGATCAAAACGTCCAGTGCCAGTTTCAACTTCAGCACCCAGAATTGATTCTCCCCGGGCCGTAATTCCCCACCAGAAGGTATGTGACACATTTCTCCTCAGCCAGAGTTGTCATCAGTACTGTCATGTACTGTAGTGAACATAGATAACTACTGCAGAAGGTTTTGCCACCCCAAATAGGTAAATATTGAATGAAAGCACAGGTACCCACAGTGCCTGTAGCACAGATCGTCTATGTTTTGCCAATTTGCGATCAGAAGAACCAAAGCATCCAGCTGTCCATTCACAGGATACAGTCTAGTCTGAGTGACTGGGCAAGTGACTGTCTTGATTTTGTTCTCTAGGCTGCAGACAAAGCTTCCCAACGTGTGCATTGGCTTTTGTAGATTCTAGTGAAAAACCTGTTGTCAGTCTCAATGTATCTAAATCTTTCCTATGACTGAAGAGACACTGACTTGATAAGAGGACATTAGAGCATGGCCTTCATGTCACATCAGTTAGTAGACATTGGCCCAAGGACCTGGGACCAAGGATGCCTGAAAGATGACATGCATCCCGAAGATCAAGTAGTCAGGAGAATGTTGATGTTGCTGATCTATTCAATTAGATAAACTGGGAAAAGGCAAAATCCTCACTCTTCTACCCATTTTGTAAGTACTGTTTTTTGTCCCTAAAATGTAAATTAAGCATTCAAGGTCAAAATATACAGGGAAACTAGGTGGTTTTTTGGGGGGATGGGGGCAGGGAGTCAATTCTGATTTCTATAGATCAGTGTTAGAATTTTTTTTATAAACATTGTGACTTCTAAATTGAGATCTCAGGTTAGCATCATTCCTGTAATAGCTGTAGATACCTTCAAGCTAATGGAGGGCAATGTATTTAGGGAGAATAGTTTGGTTTAATTTTATTTTGTTGTATTTTAGCTGAACCTTCCTGACTATTTATTAGTTGAGACAGAAATTCTGGGGTCATGTAAATTTTTTGGCAAGGGAAGAAGGAACTGAGATTTTATGTTGCTCAGAGTTGTTTCTGCTTATGACTTTATAAATATTATTTGGGGAGGAMCTTGCTCAAAGAATGATCAAATGGTACTGTGAACTTTCTATAGGAGAAAAGGCTGGTTCATTCTTTTGCTTAAACTGGTGCTTCAGTGAAGGAGTAAGGGCAGGAAGGGGAAGAGGGCGCTTGCTTTGCCTTGAAGATCTGCATGGAAGGCTGTTTGCCTTGAAGGCTGCAGGTGGATTTGTCTTTGCAGAATCATTCCAACTGACACAAAAACTATCCTTAGGGATCCTCAATAATACATATGTAGGTATGACACATTTCCCCACTTCCATAGTCTCCACCACAATTTGATTTGGATGACCGTGTAGTCGTTTGCTGGAAAGTGTCCATTTTAGAATGGATGGTAACCATAGCCATTTACACCTGTTTACCACACTAGACATCATTTTTTTCTTTTAATGTCTATACTGTAAAAAAGTTAATTCCACAAACTAGAGGKTTTTTTTAAGCCTAAATATGTCTTTGACATGAAAGCTGTAAAATAAATGTCCTCTTTCCTGTATTACCCTTCAGAGAGATATGAGGATTAAATTTCTCAGGAGGATGGTGTTTGCACTTGAGCATTGTGTGCCCTGATGTTTGCAAAAGGTTTATAGGAGCTGTTGGAGGTTGCATGCTCTGAATAGGCTACAGACAGTGCTTGCTGTTGGGAAAGAAGTTGGCTGAAATCTTTATGTGGGAGAAGAGTGGGAGCTCTTAGCGATGGCGGGGAGCAGGGTTCTAAAAATATTGAGAGCTTTCTTGAGTAGGTCTTTGGCCCAGAGGGAATAGGCAACAGTAGAGTGCTGGGGGTGGATCCTTGCAGGGTCAGGGTGAGTGATAATTGTGTTTTTGAGCTAAAATGCTGCTGTGACCAGGTGAATAAACTCAAGTAATTTAGTAGGAGTTAATGTTAGAAAGTTACCAAGGTATTGCTGAGTATAGTAACTGGAGAGCATTTTAAGAGAAAATGAAGACWTTGAACTGCTGGAGGAAAAGACTGAAGACTGGAATAAAAAGTCTTTACAATACAAACAGCAGTATGGAATGTTGCCAGAAAGTATATAATAGTAAATGTACTTTAAAATGAAGATTTCTTTGCTTTTCCTTTTATTATGTCTAGTAACACTGTAAATATGAAGAGTTACGTGGCACACAGGCAGAAGCTGCTAGTTCTACATCATTGCTTGGTGGCGTTCATGAAAGCACATGAAATGAATTGCATTTCAAACAGGCAACARCTACATTATGTGTCATTTGCTACTATGTTGTCCACAAATATGGACAGAGGTTTTTCTTTCYTCTCCCTTGCTCAGAGTTAAAGGCATGCCTGTGTCAGCTAAAGCATACTGCATGTGCAAGTTTGGGGTCTTGTACAAATGAATCTATGGCTTATATATTCCTGCTGATCTGATTGCAGCTTGCACTAATTTTCAAGCATGGATTTCTTTTTTGACTGCCGTGGTCATGGACTCTCATGTTTTTAGAAAGYAAATTTAGTTCCTTCAGAGAATGCRAAGARTATCCAAAAAGCCCATCATTTTTCAATGTGATAGAAATTGTTCTACATTACATAAGTAATGGAGCATTTGCTTTCTCTCCTTCCCTTGGATCAATTTTATGGATGACGCTGTTCCTTCAACCATTAGTTTTGAGATCAGCTGGGCTGTGAGTCTGCATTGGAAATAAGAGATTTACTCTTCTCTAATGTTAATCTGCAAGTTGAAACAGTTTTCATTTGGAGTGAGATTTAGTCAGACCTTTCGAACAGGGGTGGAATAGTTGAAAGAGAAGGGCATAAATGAGGCTGAAAKCGTTCAAACTAGAAGAAGAGTAAACCTGGCTCCAAGGACCGAGACTGAGCCATCAGCAGCCACTAGCCTGAGCTCTGCAACTTCTGAGGGCATGCAGTTGGGCACGTACAGGTAAGGAGTCAGTTTAGGGCAGTTCCAAAAGTCTTAAGGCTGAAGCCTTAAGGCTAAGTGCCCAGCTTTAGTTTCTGCCCCTTTGCACAAAGATATTAAAGATAACCCTGTTAATAACATGACTACATGTTGTGCTGTTTGTGAAACACTGCAGAGAGCATATATTTCAAAATCTCAGGGAAAAATCTTATAGTGCCTGTGATTGGTTTCCTGCAAAATTTGGGAATTTGTGTGGCTAAGAGCGAAAAAGAGCCAAAATAACTGGAAAGATATTATGCGTGGGATAGGAGAGCAGGCTTAGCTGAAAGCTTTGGATTTTTTTGCACAAAGCTACAGTGCCTTCATTTCCTTGGCACGTTGGGTGGTTAAATACATCTGTATAGCTCAAGTGTTTGGAAATTGTTCTCCTAGAAATGCTGCAAAAAAAAAAAAAGAGTCTTTAAGGACAATAGCARTAGATCATATAGATAATAGAACATGAAGGAAGACCTGGAAAACTATTCATGTTGCTTCCTATACAAATCCATCCTTCTCACCACTCCTAGATGTAAGAGGGGGTGCTTACCTTTCATAGACTTTAAATATTCATAAGGAAAACGTAATAATACTGCAGAATTGAAAGGAGATGATTCATAACTTCCTTTTATTCCCAAATGTTTGAGTTTCTCCTCTACATTTACTAGTTGTAAACTCRCTCCCTGACATTACACTGAAATTTAAACCGTTTTCCCCTCCTACTAAGCAGCAGTAAGGATTGCAGCAAGATGACMGCTTCTTTCACTAGACCTGAAGCCCATTGCTCAGTGTCAGAGCCTCCTCTTCTGGTCAGCTGAAAGGTAGCCTCAGACTTGCCTAGTTTGGATATTCGCTCCTTTTCCGGCTACTGAGATGAGGAGGGGGAATTGGGAGGAGACAGAGGAGAGACAAGGGAGTGTTTGTTACTGTTGGCAGCGTTTCGTGTTATAGAGTGCTAAGAGTTGTGTTGCTGCTGCTCATTATTAGAAATCTGACCTTCAGATTTCAGAAAGGCTTTTCCTGTGTTGATCTGTCTTTTTATCATTAGACTACAAAGAAGCAGAATACTAATTTATTCTCAAATATCCTCCCAGGAAAAAGTTGAATGGCAGATACTTGATAAATCACAACAGAGAAGAGCTGAATAAGCTGGTTATTGGACAACAATTCTTTTGAAGTAATTATACGGCTGTTCTCTTATCTACTTTGTGTTTTACCATTTTTTCCCCCTAAGTGCAGGGAAAATAGCTACCTGCGAATTACTGTGAATACTAAACCAAAATGGAGAGTATGAAGCTGGCACTGTTCGGTTGCTAGAAATTCTAGTGGTTAGTCACTTCTGTATCTTCTAATTTATTCTAGCTGGAAATGGTTTGAGGAGTGAAACCAAAATTCTGTTCAGGTCATTGTTAGGCATTTATCAACACTGATTTCCTATGTCCATCTTCCCCATAATTTTCCCTTTGCCTTCTCTTAGCATTCAGGAATGGTGAAACTATGAGAAAAGCATTTTGATTACAGAATATTTGATACTTCTGCTACTAGCAGTTCAAACTGATACCACAATCAGGTCTGATTGCATGTCCTTTTACAGTGAAGTTTAGAAAAGAAACACAATTTTAGGCAAAWTCCCCAGAATTTTCGCAGCAGTGTGTGAGCCTAGCTCCAGCATATCCTTTATGTTCTCTTATTGCTTCTGCACTAGTTTTTTTGCAATATTTTTGTCCACCTTTGCCACCATGTAGAGCTCAATTGCACAATTGTTGACTTAATTTGTGAGCAAGACTTTATGTATTTGTCCCTTTTAAAACATATTTTCATTGAGARATGTAGTTTGTTTTTTATTTAATGATACCTTGAAGCTTGTGGGGTAGTTATTTGCAGTTTTGATGTCAGGATATAATGATTCCAGGATGTACTTCCAGGTCATATGCTAACCTGGATGGCCCAGTTAGCATGAACCAGAGCCTGTGAAAGCAATGCAGCACGTGGGCTTCAATAGCTTAAAGTATACTTGAGGAAAGTGTGGTAGGGTTTCAGAAACATTGTTTTTGTAATAATGGTGTTGAATTTTATGTTGGTATACTGTCAACTCAAATGAATCCAATGTCAAAACACAAGTTTCTTAATTATCCTAGGAATTAATAGACAAAGTCATTTTTATATATATTATTGCCATGATATTGACCAGTACCAAACGTTCTTTCAATGTTAACCTTTAGCTTGTTGACTTGAACTAAAAAAGCATTTAAAAATGCCTGAGTATGTAATGCTTCCCTTGTTTTCGAACAGTGAACTAAACGTTTTCTGAAAGGCTGTGTGTGTTGGCCTCTAATCTATTTATTGCGMGTTTATTGATGTGTTTAGAAAGCTGTAATTGCAGATGCATTGTTTTTGCATGTGTTCTATGATTGCTCTTTCCTTTTTTTCTTTTCTTGGCCTGCATGTTTGCTACTACAGGAACCTTCTTGGGAAATCAATGGCAGCAGAACAACCTTCGATCCTCTAACTAACACGACGCCTGGGCCTGTGGGTAGTGTTTTAGCAACCAATGGAACATTTCCAGGCTACCTCAGCAAGCAAGATATCAGCATTTCAAATAGCTCTTCCTACTTAAAGACTACCACAGTTAGATCTTCCATGTCCTCTCAATCTGTGACTCCTGACACTTCACCTGCRAAGAGTAATCTAGGTTCAAACCTAAGTCCTGTATTCACTGATGGCAATAGTCCTAAACACCAACTGAGCCCTGCAAGGCAGTATAACAACCCTATTGGCCTTTACTCAGCAGAGACTCTCAGGGAAATGGCTGAGATGCATAAATTAAGTCTCAAAGGAAGGGCTTCAGAAGGTGGACTTCCTAGAGGGTAGGTAACATGGTAAAATATTCACTCTTCCAGTAAGTAATGAATTTTCTGAAAAATAAATGTAGTAGTACCTACACTGTTGTGCATGTATATTGTAAAAATGATTAACATCTGGAACAATCATTAAATTTTCCRATATCCTCATGAGATTTACACAGTACCATTACATAACTCTTGGTCTTTGGTATCTGAATTGCCGGTTGAATTGGCAATAATTGCTGGAAYGTGAGGAGAAACACAATTACTGAAGTAAACTGTGATAATCTCAGGGTTTTGGTGACTACCAGTTTAGTTTACGGTGTGTAGACTCGTWGAACCAGATATCATTACAGACCATTAGAGAAGCTGTTATAATAGAGGTCTGATTTTTGGTGCTTGCCTAATGAGTACTTGCTTTGATCAGCAAATCTGACATGTTAATCTCCCGCAAGATGCGGTAGCTCCCTCCTTAATGTATTGGCTTTCCTGTGTAAGACAAGTCAAAAGTTAAATCTTTTGAATCCTTTAGTTTGGACATTGTGTATCATGTCTAAGTGCTGTTACTAACTTTTTATAGTTTTGTTAGTAACTTATATCTAAGAATAATCTCTAGTTACTACCCAGATATTTTGATACTCTGCTATCAAGRCTTTCATATTGCAGATTAACTCTCTTATCTGTGGGTGTGTGAAGTAGACTTGGACTATACAACAGCAGGGCTTACATGAGCAAAAGCAATGAGGGGAAAAAAAACCTAACTTCTCTACCATCATTTTTTAACTTACAAACATATATCATTTTTACTTGTTCTTCTAAAATAAAGCTCCCTATTATAATTATGGGGGGAAAATGACATTTTAATATGAAGGACCTGACTACATGAAAAGAAGCAGAAAAGTCAAACAATCCACTTTAGCTGGGTAATATGTATTTTCTAGTACTTAATATCCTGTTGCAGAAACTCTGTATCTGTGTAAGAATTAAGGCAATAGTTTTTAAGTCCTAGCAAAATAAGGCTATTTCATTCTGCAAAAAAGTCATATGTACATGCTTCAGATGATTCATGCAGAGTTTAGATAATACATTTTTAGATAACTTYCAATGCTCTGCATTAACCATCTTARCTAACTTATCTGAACAAACCTTGTACTTCTCACTGGATAATTAAGAAAGGCAAGTAGTATTTAAAAGAAAATAATTTGAATTAATAAGTAGAGTTATCAAAATAAGTTTCAGAATGYTTCTTTTATTGTTTTCTTGAGGAAAACTAATTCTTGAAGCATTTTAACATATGAAGTTTCTTGGGAGTATGTCTCACTGTCCTTCTCCCACTATTCTCCCCTGTCTCCCTGATGTCTGCCCAAGCAGGGATCACAGGGGATATATTTCTGGAGTTTCAGTTTCCTGGCTATTTATTGTTATTAAAACTACACACCACACGGCTGAATCACTAACCATCACTAACTGATGTCAGGGCCACAACTATTATGTTGGTTCTGGAGGTTGTTGCACTAGGGCCGTATAACTACCCATGGCTGTTGGAGGGCAACATAAATGAAGTTTCCCATTAGTGGAGATCTGTCATTTAGGGGCAGTACAGAGAATTAAGAAGGAAAGTTTTATCCTGGAACCATCACCCTTAGGTGTGGGGTGGTGGTGTTATTTTGGGTTTTTTTATTGTTGCTGCTTAGGGGTTTTTGTAGATTTTTGTGTTAGGTTTTGTTCTCAGAAAATTCTTCTGAGGTTTAGGCTATTATCAATTTTGACTGCAAGTAAACAGATTCAGAGTCGAATAATCCTTTTATTCCTTTCACTTGGGTATTGTTCATGACTGGGCGTCTTTTTTCTTATGTCTCGCTAGCTTGAGGCTTTGTATGAGCCAGGACGGTTTCTGTCTCATTGTGTATGTAGGACAGAGTGCTTAAGAAAGGCACTCTAAGTTCTGCAAAGGCAGCTCTGGACTTKGCCGCTTTGGACATTGCTGTCATACAGTACATCATGAAATGCTGCATAAGGCCTGTGAAAGTATGCAGCTCCAAAGCTGTCAATCTGTCATGCATTCATCTACTTATCAGTATGTTTAAAAACGAGAGAGAATTCAGGTAATTGGATAGATTTTAATTGGATACCTTTATTTCAATGCTGCTTTGCTTTTCACTAAGTCATTTAAACTTAATCATGTGAGCTCTGATAGAGGTTTAGCTGAACACTTTAGAAAATCCTACCAGCAGGCTGAAATTTAATTCAGAGCATTTCCTTGACATTTAAAAGATAACAAAGCATCTGCTTCTCTGTTATACTTCTACATTATTAAGGCTTTATCCTCAAATATAGAGGTCTGCTTAAACTTCATGTGCTGACAGCTCTGAAAGGGGGAATATTAATAAATATGAAGACTAAGCCATAGCTTCTCACACAGGAATCTTTTTCACTGTGGTGTAAGTTAAGCTTCGCATGGTCAGTCAATCTGCCCTGCTTGTGCTTATGTGCCTGGTGGTTTGGGTTACAAGTTTCTTACTTGTGTGACCTCTTTGACAGAACAAGTTGAGTGTTTAGTACTTGTCCACATTTAGAATCAAGCTGAAAAAACGTGTGGCTTTAAATGGGAGAGGATTTGCTCATCACATGCTTTCCAAAGGACACTGCAGTAATCTGTTCACTTCTTTAAAAATAAAAAAAARCTTTAGTGAGATATATAGCTATTAATTTGTCTTCAGTGCATACATGTAATGTTTTTTATCTCAACCTATTATATTGTTACATGTGAATAAGTGGTTCTTCTCCATAAGACCTCTCTTAAGGACTCTACTTCTCCCTTTAATGTGTTATTTTATGTGCAAGGCAGAGACTCAGATTAGAAGGTTACAGCAGCCATCAGAGTACACTTTAGAACATGATAGTATTACACCATGTTTGATTAGAAGCAAGTGCTCAGCTGTCTTATAAATACCCAAAATGGGTATAGGATCACTGATGTGCTTACTGGCTAAAACCTGTTCCTAATATATCTCTACYGTTTCCTGTAAAAGATTGATAATTATCTCCTAATTCAGGGTTTGTATAACTTGCTGAATGTTCTCAAATCTGACATCTGAARAACAGGAACTGTAAAAAGCGATCGGAGATTGCTGTTCCATGGAAAAGCAAAAGTGCAAAGCCTTGACGGTGGCTATGGCTCACCAAAATATTTTTGATCGTGGAAAGTAGAGGAGACCGGGTCAGTTGTAGAAAGACTTGGTAAAACAAAACAGGAATACCAAAGGTTCCCTGAGCAAAAGCAGAAAGAGACAAAATGCACTTGGAATGTCACTCAGGTAGCACTGTTGCTCTCCACTATCGTTTATCCATTCCAGATCCACCCCAAATCCAGAAGYGTTGGCAGCAAGCTGGTAGGCTCAGTGCCTAGATCTATCAACAACATTCTGTGCAGTTAAATGAGGAGGGATATTTAATAACTGATCCTGGAGTCTTTTCCATTTTCCTTTAGTCATAGCCTGATGAGTTACTCTTCATCCTAGAAGAAAAAAAAAATGGACATTAAGGTTTGGAACTAAGCAAAAATAATAGTAGTCCATTAATACTGCTCTTGCAATCAGCAGAGTTCCTGGCAAATAATCACAGAATCACAGAATAGCTAAGGTTGGAAGGGGCCTCTAGAGATCATCTAGTCCAACCTTCCTGCTCAAGCAGGCACACCTAGAGCATGTGGCACAGGGTGGCATCCAGGCGGGTTTAGAAGACCTCCAGAGTAGGAGACTCCACAACCTCCCTGGGCAGCCTGTTCCACTGCTCTGTCACCCTCACAGTAAAGAAGTTCCTCCTCACCCGGAGACGGATCTTCTTGTGCTTCAGCTTGTGGCCATTACCCCTCGTCCTATCGCTGGCCACCAGTGAGAACAGCCTGTCCCCTTCCTCCCTGCATTCTCCCTTCCTGAACTTATACACATTAATCATATCCCCTCTGAGCCTTCTCTTCTCCAGAGAAAACAGGCCCAGCTCACTCGGCCTCTCTTCATAGAGAGATGTTCCATTCCCTTAATCATGCTGGTTGCTCTTCTCTGGACCCTCTCGAGAAGCTCCACGTCCCTCTTATACTGGGGTGCCCAGAACTGCACACAGTACTCCAGGTGCAGCCTCACCAGAGCTGAGTAGAGGGGCAGAATCRCCTCCCCTGACCTGCTGGCAACACTCCTCCTGATGCAGGCCAGGATCCCATTGGCCTTCTTGGCCACGAGGGCACACTGCTCACTCATGGTTAACTTGGTGTCAACCAGGACTCCCAGGTCCCTCTCAGTGGAGGTGCTTTCCAGCAGGTCAACCCCTAATCTGTACTGATGCCTGGGGTTATTCCTCCCCAGGTAAGGYCATAGGGTCTTACAGGCTGTGCATGTTCTCTGTTGCATCTAGCTTTGGCTGGCCCAAAGCCTACATTTAGAGTTTTGTATTGTGTTTCTTTTGGATTATTGTGCAAGCCAGTTAGTTGTTGTTTTGGGAGCACAGTAGATTATAGAATGAATGTATGTTTTTTTTTAACTCCATACATAACAAATGGAGTAAATATCCTGAYGTGAATATCTGAAAGATACAGAATGCATGGACTGGATTGCCTCTTTTCATTTCACACTGAGAGTGCTAGTGAAGACTAGGCTGAAATCAATTAGCTCACACCACTGTTGGCATAATGCAAATGCAGTTAAATTTAGGCAAACAGTTTATTAAACAGAAAAGTTTTTACCTTATTTTGAGTTTTAAAACATCCTTGAATATTTTATCTGGCTATTCTCCAGCACATAAACAGCTAGAAGATCAGTCTTGCAAGACTGATGCTCTGAGGGCAGCCTGTGGAGCATAAGTTCCTCCCTGTATATTTGGTATCTGAAGGCAGAATGTCATCTCTATCACTCATTTACTGCTTTTAGGTGAGAAATGTCTTCTGCAAATGTCTCCTATTTTTTGCTACTGTCCACTTAGGAAACGGTGCTTCTGAGATAAAAGTACTTCCAGGGATTCACAGTAATAAAACCACATTCAAGAGTCAGCCAAAATACCACTGTACTTTACTAAATCCTRGTGGATAAACTATAATCCCTACATTTTTTCCTTTCTTAATCATGCTGGGATTTTCAGGTGTACATTTGCTTTCTGTTTCTATTTGTAGACGAACTGGAAAAAAAGCTTCCATAAACTTCTGTAAATACTTCTTGTCCTTTGCACTCTAAAAACTATTGACAATTCTGTTTGTTTTTGATGTTTCTTCTCTTTCTCTTCTTTTAGGTCATAACCAACACCAGTTCCAAGTTAGTATGACTTCTGTGTAGTGCCAAGTATTTGTGTTACGCTGTTATGTGTGAAGATTTGTGTTCTGGGGTAGCATGATCCCTGGTGTTCCTGCTGTGTTGGCTTGCAAGTGCAAATATTAAAAAAAAAAAAATCTGTTTGGTATGCCAAGTGTCATACATGGCTACGGCATCCCCTGGTGGCTCTGTTCTAAGAATACCATGTGCTCAGAATTTCACACTAAGATTCTAATGCTGCAACCGTAGTTAGAATTTGAGGTTGCTTGAATCTTGCAATTATTTTTAGGCTTTTTTGAGTTTCTACAGCCAGGGTATAATTCTATTCTTCAAAATGATTTTCATGCTATCAGGATTTGGGAAGTCATAGTGATGGCCTTTTGCTCCTTTTTTTTTCCTCCATTATATTATTAGTGATATTTTTAGCATTGACTTTTATGTTATATTTTTTAAAACCTACTCCACTAAAACTCACACTTATGGTATTTGCTGGTATCAGATATTGTTCTTGAAAAGATCCAAAAAGTTATTGACCTTACTTAGAAGTTTGCTCAGCTAAGTACAAGCTATGGACTTGAAATGGTGATTGATCTATGTTATTTAGGGCAATTTGCTAAAATCTCAGCTTTTTTTTTCTGTAGTTTTCCAAGGTAATGGCAGAGGATGCTTTGCAAATTCCTGCTTTCTGTCCCTGAAAAGAATGCTGCCCAGAAATTGCTGAAGAGTTTAGGCTTAAACTTCAGCAATAAAATAAATGTCAGAATTAAACTGGTAAGAGAAGTATAAAAATAGTAGAATGCATAAACACAGAAGTCTTTTCCATGAACGTAAGTCACACAGGCATTTTCTGTTGCTCTTAAGGTGGCATCTAGATGCTTTGTATTCAAAGAAGCTCTTGCCACATGACAGTTATAATTATTATGTTATTACTGTCTTAGAACAGGGAAGTCGCATTATAGTTTTTTCAATCTTTCTTTTGTATTCTTATCACTGATACTACTTTTCTCGTGTTTGGCATAACAATAAYGTTGAATTCACACAGTTGCTCCAGCTGTCTCTGGGATTGTATCTCTGCCACTTYGTCCTAGAACACAGCAGTCTTTAATACATCTCTTCATTCCCTGAGCTAAAATAAGAACTCAGCAGTTCAAAATCTGTACTTTTTTCTCTTCTTTTTATGGAAATCCACTTGATTTCAGTAAATGTTTTGTTTTGGTATGGGTAATCTGGCTAAATTTGATTACAGTTTCTTGAAGAGGTCATTCAGATTGTTCCAGTTACACGAGTCAAATCTAAATCACCACTGCCACTACTACTGCTACTACTTTTAGAGAAGCTTAAGCTGTTCTAAGATCTTATTTGAGATCTGGTAAGATCTAATTTTCATTTCTTAACTGTTGAAACCAGCTGCTGTTTTATATTCTTAACCTTGATCTGTTTTCTTTGCAGTCTTCTCAAGTCTTGGGTTTAGAATCTCTTCAATACTATGATAGCGGGGATAAAGAATACCAAATTCAAATATTGAGGACCGATGTGTTCCAAATGACCTGATTGTGTGGTATATTGCAAGAGAAACAGTTGTTAGAGTAAGGCATGTGCATGCTGAGAAATCAGCAATGAATATAAGACCCTTAAGCAGATGAGGTTGGTTTATTAATGATGTCCTATTTGGAAAATAGGTAATAAAAAAAAAGTGTGAAAATGTCTTTGTAAAAAATTGGCTTTCACTTTTGCATGGATGCATGATGCAGCTTTCCGTGTCTCTCCTTTATGACAGTGATGCATGGGTTAAAAGCTGTGATTAYACTGCAGCATGTGCATATCTGTGTCTTTGTTCTTGAGCATGTTGCTGCTGTTCTTCCAATATTTTGAATGATGCTAAACTCTCTTACTGTCCATCTTCAGTCAGGCATCCCACAAACAAAATGCTGAGAGTATTCTGCTGAGAGGATTCTGTTYGCTGGCTGCACATGTGGCACGCCACCTTTGATAGTCAGTGGAAGATTAAGTTAGATGGCTACCAACTTTACTTGATTTTTTCTTTTTCCTGCGTGCTAGGTTGAGGGTTCTGATTTATTTCTCAGGCACCTACTGCAGCTAAACCATGAAAACATTTTCATAACTTCTTTTTGGTGGTGGGGAATATATCCCTTTCTAGCTTTTGCTTCGATTCAAAATGAAATTTTGTTGTGAGATGCACTTATTTCCTAAAGAACAAAATTGTTGGCTTTACCCTGCTGATTAGTGTATAGGACCTGCACTGCATCCCCTTGCTGTTGGCAGGGAAAGAACAGTAGCTTAGAGAACAATGTGGTCTCCCAGTAGTTAGAGTACCTGTTTCACTGAATGACAGTCTGAGATTTAGGTAATCTAATCAAAGCTCCCCAAAATATTATGAGCTGACTCTAAGATGGTGACAGCCTGCAGCCAGGCAATGCCAGGAAGCCAGGTGCTCCTAGGTTGAAGTGTGACACTGAAGTGACTCTTTTGCTATGGAAGCTTCAGTTGTCTTGCCTGAGGTTCAGTTGCTCAAATCAAAATYCTTACTTATAAGTGGAACCCCTAGGAAATATGGCTACAACTCTTCCAACTGCAGTTGTCCCATAAATTGCAGTGTAGGTTATTTTAATCTAAACTATTTTTCAGTGAATATATCATACTATAGCAACCCTTCTGGCAGTCCACACAGATGTTTGTGAGAAWTCATTAGTGTCTGTGACAACTTTGAAGATTAAAAGGCTTCAGTATTAAATTTCACTATGATTAATCATCTATGCAGAAAACACTGTGACCTTCAAAATAATAGAGAATCTAACATATATTCACCCCGTTGCATTTCCTAGCACTTCCTAAGATCCATTTGAAATAGTGAATGGATGTAGTGAAAAAATTAGGAATTCTCTGCAGCATGTATGTACATCCAGGTATATGCATAKGTATGTATGTGTATCGATATGTATACAGTTATATATATGAGCATGTAAGAGTAGACTACTTTGTGTAAAAATCAGAAATATGTGGTGATTTCTCATGATTTTGTTATAAAATGACAACTTTTCACCTTTTTTGTTTATCTGAGAGCCAACACAAACATCTCTTCTATTACCACAGCCAGCTTTTAACTATTACTTCTTACATTGGCTCTTACTGTGTGAGCTTTTGTGGTGCGATGCCATGAAGACCACGTGCACATTCCTCTGTTATTCCTGTTTTCTTACTTAATCGATTATCACGCTTTTGTCCTTTCTTCCCCTCCTTTCCCTGTCAAACCTCACTTGTGCATAACTCAGTACGGATTTTGTGGAACGTTTCAACCCCAGTGTCCTGAAGGACTCTGCCCTGTCTACGCACAAACCCATTGAGGTGAAAGGCTTGGGCGGCAAGGCTACCATAATTCACGCGCAGTATAACACCCCGATCAGCATGTACTCCCAGGATGCTATCATGGATGCAATTGCAGGCCAGGCACAAGCCCAAGGTGGAGAGTTTGCCGGGTAAGATTATTTCCTCCTGTGGAATGGTTCTTCTCTGCATGCTATATCATGTAGTGCCAACCTGCATGGCACAACGGCCCCKCTTTGGCCTTTCTCTCTGGAATATCTAGTATGTGAAAAAATACACATCAGTACAATACCATTTTTGAAAGTGTTAATATCATTTTGAAGCTTATAAGAAGGATAGCTAGAAAAATTAACACTTATTTTTCAGTATTATTCCTGGAATTGATAAACGCCACTGAAATATGAGCTATGTCAGGTGCTTTGTATATAAAATAAGATGGTCTGTCACTTAGGACTATGCTTTCTTAGAGCCACTCTTGCATATGTGTAGCTCAAAAAGAATGGAAAGGGGAGGAAAATGTTATTTATTGATCTATAAAGCATGAGAGGTATTTAGTACTAGTTATAGTTGTGTTCTTCAGAGTAGAGTGTTGTGCTATACTATCCCTATTGGATATTCCTTAATTAATACTAACACTGTTTTCTCAAAACCTCTTGTTTAGAATTACCAGACTCCAAAATATTTGACAGAAGAGACTATATCTAAGCTAAAAATGCAAGTGTAATGTCATAGTGCTGTTGCTTTAAGAAATTTTATTTATAGATGACTGAAAACTGGTTGCACAATAACCCCTAAGGGAATAATACTGTTTGGTGGAGTGAGAAACAATATTTTTAGATAGCATTTTTCCAACTCTCAGCCTTTGAATAACAGATCTTTCTTCTCAGATTTCTARTACTTGCCTAAATTAGGAATAAACCCCATTACAAAGAATGTACTTGTAGACACATGAAGCCAAGTTAGTATGAGGTGAGTCGGGACCTTCTCTTTGTACACAGCAATTCTTGGAACATTCTGAGAGAAGAGGAGGTGGAAGAAAGAAAAATGCATATCAGAATAGTTCATAGTCCTAAAAGCAGGTTTTGGTATAGCTTTCCATCGTTTTTAGYGGAGTTTTCAAATATAGGCATCTGGTAGGTTACAGAATTGGGATCTTATTAAGAAACAAATTTGTATTTCTGTAAATATAATTCAGTTAACAACCATATTTTTTGACTTAAATTCATCCTTCATGGAATTTCATTTATCCCAGTCTCTCTCCTGCTAGGTATCTTTCTATCTGAATTAGAACTTCCCTTCATTTGACAAAKAAATAAATAAATAAATACRGCGAAGCTTTCTAAGATAAYGTCTTGTGAAGCTGCTGGCTACCAGCTTTCTGAGCATGTTGATATTCTGTGTAGTTGCCTGTGTTCCCTTTATTGATCATTTCATTCTCTTCTCTTTTTCTTTCTTTTTTTCCCACTAATTTCTGATACTGTTTTGTTGTGTTCATCACAATTCTCCCTAGTGATGGGAAAGTATTAAGTACATCTRTCTGAAAAAGAGCTAAATTAAGTAGATGGATAGTTTAAAAAAACACAAAACAAAACAAAAAAAAAACCAGATTTGTATGAACTGTTAAGTCTTTGTACGARGGCAGCCAAAGCTGCATTGAATGCCAACAGCAATAGTTCTCACTTGTTTCTTTCATGTTGAGTTTGGGTTCCACCTATCTCATGACTGCTTTGAAACTGGATAGTTATTGCCATTAATCTTTATACATCAGATAATATTCGTGCAACATTATTCTGTTCAGAGACTTCCTAGTACTTGCTTAGTGACTAAACGGTTTTCCTGTTGGACTGTATTCCTTAATAGTACAGCACTGCAAATCTAGCTRTAAAGGCAAGGTTCGTGGGGGTGCTCCCTGATAAAACATTGGCTTACCCATTGAGTGATCCTCAATGATTTGAGCAGACTTATAGCTGAATTTTTTAACGTATCCCACGATATTCTGAACTCTAATTAACAGTGCAAACTGAGGACGCTACTTAGTTTTCAAGTTGATCAGATCTGAGATTAGATTAGATGTGATGCAGAAATAATTGAGAAGTCTGTCATAGAAAAGCAAATCAAAATGTGTATTGATTTMATTTAGTCTCAGTTCTCTGTATGCAGTTTGACTTCAAGACTTAGTTACTCTTTTTAAGGCTTTTCACTTTACATAGGACAATAAGTGCTGAAGCCACAAGGTGGTAGCTAAAGGAGTAAGCATCCTGTGATTACAGATGGAAGGAGTTTCAGGTTTTTTTAACAGTACCTTGAAACACTCTTTAGTTCTCAGTGACAGAGAATGGACAATCTTGGAATGAGGAGTCATTTTCTAGTCTAACCCTTTGAAATCATGACATCTGTCTGATACTAGTGATATCAGATTCTGCTCAGGTTGCTTAGAGAATAACCCATACATACTGAGTCATTAAAGAAAGCGCAAAGGAAAGAATTTTAATTATTTAAACTGCAGTTATTTAGACCTTGTGCTGAAACTGCAGCAAAGGTACAATGCCCTGGCGTTTTCATTCTGTGTTGCTTTGCTTTAATTATTTTGRTATACCAAGAACCAAGAGTTGTTGTCAATAGAACTGTGTAATCAGACATTTCATCTGTACCTCTGTCAAAATTCTTAAATTCTTTTATTTGTTTTCAGACAAATTCACAAATCATTTAATCAGATATAAAACTARCAATTTAACAGTATTAAGGTCAGACAGTTCTAGTGGTAAAATCAATCATGTAACTAGGTCTTGTTTTTATTTTAAAATAAGTCATTTGCTTGAATAATTTGCCAATGTGTGTGAATCTGTTTTTTTTCCCTTAGTGCTTTTTTAAGCCTTAGTTGGACTTGATCTAATACCCAATGTTACGATGTTTGATTGTATGTCTACATCGGGGATAAAAGACTGTAGCCCTTCCTTTGATTTTATTCGTCAATTAACTATTTGATTCTATTAAAACAGAGTAATGACTTCCATAAATGTTTCATAAAAACTGTAATTTTTGATGTACTGCCAGCAAAAATCACTTTGCTACTTACTGAAACATCTTTGATTGTCTTGAAAGCTTGTTTTAATGTTAGTTAATTGTGCTTACTGATATGTAATGTATGTTACAATATGGAAAGGTGGTTCAATTTTAGATGAATTCTACTGCAATACCTTAGAATAGGACATGAAAACCTCTCAAATTCTAGTGCAGATTTTTTTTTCAGTCGCATCTATTTGAAGAGGTAGGTTTAACATATATGATATTTATGCACATATACAGACAGAAAAGAGGAAAAGGTTTAACAGCCACTTAGTATGTGCATACTAAGGCTGACAGTATTAGCCATCACATTTGGGTTTATGAAATGCTCATGATCAGGACTGCTCTGTATTTTACACTACCATGCTGAGTAGGTCATATTTCCTGGTTACTCATCTGTAATGTAATATTGATTTAAAAAAAAAAAAAAAAAACCTGTTGAAATAAGGACAGAATTGGAAATAATCCCAATGTAGTGCATTAATCTAGTTGAGCTTGCAGGAGGGTGCTTTCCTGTGCTAGGAGAGGTTAATTCCCCAAACTGTTTCCTGCCTTAGTCATCTACCGTGAAGACAGAAATATGCCGTGATACTCATTGCTAGTGCAGAACTTGCACTCTACAATTGTTTAATACCTCTGAGTTARGGATATATCTATAGGTACAGTTTTTATCAATTTTGTGAGTTATGGTGTAGGAACAAAGGAGCATAACTAGAATATTTACATAAACTAATTGGATTTGTGCATGACAAACACACCCCTATTGCCACAGTAGTACCTGGCTGAAATCAACAGTACTACCTATCTGAGGGGTTGTTGTCCAGTCTGCCACAGTCTATCATTTTGAAATGTGTCATCATATACAGCAATGTTATAAGGTTCAGCAGATTTAAAATGCAAGACTGGAGATAAAAAGGTAATCAAGGCAGTAATGGGCAGTCATCCAAAAACATCATATTTTAGGGGATTTTTCCTATATGTTGTTGTTTTACACAAGATATCAAGACACGTTTTTTGGCTTTTCTGTGAGTCCTCTCAAATTTTCAGAACACAACCCTAACTTCTCTGTAGATTTTGTATGTACGTCAATGTATTGTAAAATAGTTTGAACTGTACGAGTGAGTTTTATAAGAAGTGACTGCACTGATTCCCTGAACTTGACAACAGTGAGTTTGTTGGACCATACGGCCCTTAATTTTTTTAAAGAGCCATTTCTCAGTTTTCATTAGGTTTAATGTGCTACTTGCAAGGCTTTACACAGAGTATCACATTAAAGCAGTCACAGTAAATCACTTGCTTTCAGAACAGATATTGCATTTAGAAGAGTCATAGACCAGAGCTGTATGACTGCACACGTCACACCCTTGGTGTGTGTCTGCCGCTTTTAAAATTTAATTCTGACCATGTGCTGTGCAAAAACTATTTTCTTTCTCTCTCTTACGCGCATGCACTATTAAATTACTAAGTCTACTTCAAGCTTTTCTCRTAAGTCAAAAAAGTTATTTCAGCTGATGTTATATACAGTTGTATAGKTTTGGCTTCAGATGTGTAAAATTGAAGCTTTCTTCCTGGATGTCACAGTGCAAGGTGATTAAGGACATCCTAAGAGTCTGAGGCACACTATGCTGTTTAAGATTTTAGATGCAAGGTGCTTATTCAGATTGTGGGTACAGATTTAGATTTCATCTTAAWCAAGTTTCACCTATTTAACAGATTATATGTACAGGACTATGACGATTTGATCTTTTTATTTTGTTTTGTAAAAACTGCTATTTTTTTTTAAAGCAGTATTTTGGGTTGCTGTTTTGTGATTGAGAAACTGTAAAATTAGAGAGGTTGGGGTGAAGAACACCACCATGTGCTGTTTCACAACGTTGCACTTTGTGAATTGCAGTACTCTTCCAGTTAAAGATCCTCATGTAGACAGTGCCTCTCCAGTGTATCAGGCTGTGCTTAAGACTCAGAACAAGCCTGAGGATGAGACTGAAGACTGGAGTCGCCGTTCTGCCAATCTGCAGTCTAGGTCCTTCCGCATCCTCGCCCAGATGACAGGAACAGAGTACAGTAAGTCAAATAGCAAAATGTACTCCCATCCATGATTTTGGATTCATGCGTTTATTTTCTTATCTTAGTATTAGTAATTGATACCCAAGATTGTTTCATGGTCTATTTGTAAGTCATTTTCTCTGATGCCCAAGATAGAAAACCTTGAATATAGCTGGAGGTAAAGTATTTGATTTCACCTTTTATTTTACTCAGAAAATTCATTGATCTGCTATGGGTGTCACCATAAAAGAACAGCAGACTATACAATTAAAGGATAGCTGAGAGCAAATAGTTTTTCTTCTGTACAAATCTAATGTATGCGGTGTAATTTTTCACTTTCTGGTCAGGGGAGATGTGCAGAACTGTCAGTTTGTTGGAAAGGGGATAAACTACTTTGTCCCTTGTAACAACACACTTCTATAGAATTGACTTTCTGAGGTCAAAAATACCCATCTTATCACTTGTTTTGTACCTGGGTTTCCTAGCAACTCTATCCAGACAGAGATCTGCTATGAATATCCTGGGAGCATCAACTCCTGTTTGCTTGTAGAAGTACTTTTCTGACCATTTAATGCTTGCATCAGATCTTTTTTCTGATTTAGAAACAAAGAGTTCTTATTCAGGAGACTTCTCTGCATCCCATGGAAATATTTACTTGGTTATTTCCTCCTTATTTCAAAAGCATTGGAATCTACCACTGCTTTGGATGCTTTCCTATAAATCAGAGCCTTCCCTGTAGGTTCATTGCCTACAGCTGTGCAAATCTGCTAATAAATTAATGTGAAGGGAAGAGCTGCTTTCTGTCTAGTCCCTTCCCAAGCTCTAGGGAACTGTTTTTGCTCATACAGTTTTTAGAAAAATCTATTGCTACAAAGTCAGCAAGCATTTATCTTTCAATAGTCTTTTCAATTATATTTTTCTAAGAACTTGTAATTTAAATGCAAATTGCCATTTTTATCAAACTTTTTTTTTAATCTGTAGTGCAAGATCCAGATGAAGAAGCCTTGAGGAGATCGAGGTAGGCAACTAATTATGAGATTTACATTTTTTTCCTTACTGATAATCAAATAATGCTTTAAAACAGCATTAATAAGTAGATGCAAAACTACCTTTTTTCTTAAAATAGTCTAACATATTTACATAAAAATTACTAAATCACAATGCTATCATGAGAGGCATTTGAATCAAAAGGGTAACAAATTGGCATGTATTTAGGAAAGATAGTGGAAGAATTCCTGAGGTGTGTGTTTAAATCTGAAAGCTCTCTGCGTATGCGATTTTCATTTAGTTTATTGGGAATGCGAATGTAATAAGTTTCTAAAACCAAGCCTGTGTAACTACTTATTCTATAACTGGATTAAACATATAATATTGTGATGGTTTTAAATGTATGAGCAATTTATTTGGATGATCCTGTGAGGGATCAGAAGTGATACAGTAAAGCAGTGGTTTCCATTTATGTCCTTAATCATCATCTGCTTTTTTTTCTGTGGAAAAAAAAATCTAATGTAGAATTGGAGAACACAGGACTGCTTTTGCTAGCTGAGAAATGAATGTCAGTTTTCAGATGTTCTACCAATAACACAGATACAAAGGTATATGTTAGAAGGCATTAAGGATTTAAAATATTTTAATATTGTCCTACACTGCCTGGGGATAGTTTTATTAGAGGATCCTGTGTCTAGCTTAAATGTGGATTAATTGGAGCATCCTGCATGTGAACTTGATTTGCGTTCTTCTAATTCCTATATTGTGTCAGCTACTCGAAGCTGCCAGGAATGTATACAATACTCAACTTCCTTGCTTTTTTTCCCCTTCTATGTGACTTGTGTAATTTTTTTTTTTTTTTTTTTTGCTTTTGATCACAGTGTAGGTTACAAATGCTGGGTCAGTAAGACAGGTACCTGCTGTCTTCCGGTTGAAGATACCAGGAGTGTACATTCAATTTGCTAGGTTTGTTATAAGGCTGCCATTTGCTGAAGTTGGTGAACAGGTGTGTGCACACCAGGCTTGACATTCCATCTTTTGTGATTTTTTTCCTTCTCTCAAATGTGTAAGCCTGGTTCCYGTTAAATATATTGCACATCATATGTTTTGATGTAATAGTACAGGTGTGTAAGAGCACATTATAATGATGGTATTAAACATTCTGTTGAAGGGAACAGTCCATCTTATGCCCGTCTGAGGAAAATATGTAGTCTTAAAGAAATAATCCTTTTAGTTCTAACCTGTGCATTTGCAAAATAGCAGATACTGAACATTTAATATGGTATCATATATATTAAAAACAATTAATCAACAAAGACACCACAAATGGTGAACTTAATTTGGGACATGTGGCTACATCTATTGTACATAGCATGTTGTTCACAGTTTTAAGCTATCACTGTGTTACCCTTTTTGACTAGGACAGTCATAGGTCTGAGTACACGTAGGCACTGGTGAACACTATGTTAAGAATGTTAAGGGCGTTTAGGGATTGTAGAGGCAACAAAAAAGTAGTATATAATAAATATTTGCAGTGTTACAATGTTATTGGCAAGAGCTCGGATGCAAGGTGTGAAATGAGGCCTGCTATTCAGTTAACTAGTGCTTGCCCCATCTTGGTGGCCTGTTGTCCAGACCCATCCATCATACGTATGTCACCTGCAAACTTGGCAGTGCCAGTTGTGGTTGTGAGTGTATCATGACTGCTCTGTCATTACTGCCTTGGGCCTTAACGGGCTTCTGTGGCTTAGAACTTTTGGAGACAGACCTGTGCTTCTGTTGTCTGTGTGAAAGTATGGATCTGTGTGTCTGATATCACTTTTATCTTTAACTCTGCTCACCCATCACAATAACAGAGAAGAAACTTCTCTTTATTGACTTCTTCAGGTGACCTGTGCAACCACCCCTTCTCATTCCTGCCTCTAGTTGGGGATCCTTCGTATAGTTTCCCAGTCCCCCAAATGCCAGAGATGTCCATAGGACTGTGACTCTGGAAAGACTCACTATTGCATTAAATCTGTGCTGTTCTGGGAGTCTGGAAAAAAATATTTTATGTTTGGAAACCTATAGTGCCAGAGACTTCACTGAATAGAGTATTTTGCTCTCGGGGCATGCTGTGAGCATGCTTGCTTGTGCTTTTTCTTGTCTCCTGGCGTGAGCTTGTTAGTGCAGTCGGGGAGAATTGCCTGAAACAGAGGTCAAGTTTCCTGCAAATCCTTGAAAAAGAGAAAAACCTTCATAGCTTTTTGGGAGAGGTGTTCCTTATGTAGAAATACTCACTTCTGGGTTACTGCTTCATGACGTGCTCAGGAGGACCTGGAATATTCAGGAATATTCAGGTGTCATAATGTTATTTTCAGTTGATATCGATGAGTTAATTTCATAACTGTCTTCTGCTTATATTACTACTATTTTGAAGTCATATGTAAGATAATAATTTGCTGTGGAAACTTTGCTGTTGTGATTATTGTTAACAGAATATTTTCCAGCAATTAAAATACATTTCTTTATACCTTTTCTTTGAATGTAGGGGTTGTATCTTCCAAGCAATAAGGGAATTTTTAAAGGTGATGCCAGACCTATTACAGCTAGTACATTCCAAATTATTTCTTTAAAAAACAAAAAAGCTATCCTCAGGTTTTAAGATTTCAGCTGGGAATACATAACTTTTATGTTTTTACATGATTAAAATATGTAAAATCATATATTAAGACTTCTGCAGAAAGGCTACTTGCATGAYATTGTGTTTTTAGAAGACTGCAGAGGAATATGGACAGGCTAGCTTGAACTGTATGAGGTTCAAAAAGCCAAGTGCTGGGTTCTGCACTTGGGTCACCACAACCCCATGCAGCTCTACAGGCTTTGAGCAGGGTGTCTGCAGAGCTGTGTGGCAGAAAAGGATCTGGGAGTTGGCTGACATGACAGCCAGCTGGACATGAGCCAACCGTGTGCCCAGGTGGCCAAGAAGGCCAATGGCCAATGGCCTTTTATCAGGAACAGTGTAGCCAGTAGGACTAAGGAAGATGTCTCTGCACTGGTGAGGCCACACCTGCAATGCTGTGCTTGGTTTTGGGCCTCTCGCTAGAGGAAGGACATGGAGTTGCTGGAACATGCCCAGAGAAGGGCAACAAAGCTGGTGAAGGGGCTGGTGTACAGGCCTTACRAGGAGCAACTGAGGGAGCTGGGTAACCAGCTTCAGTTTTTTTAGTCTGGAGAAGAGAAAGCTCAAGGGAGACCTTATCACTCTCTAAAACCACCTGAAAGGAGAGTGTAGTGCGGCGGGGGTCAGTGTTTGCTCCATACTAMCTACCAACAGGACAAGAGGAAACGGCCTCAAGTTGCACCAGAGGAGGYTCAGGTTAGACATTAGGAAGAATTTCTACAGAGAAAGAGTGGTGAAGCTTTGGAACAGGCTTCCCAGGAGTGGTGGAGTCCCTGTCCCTGGCAGTGTTCAAGCAGTGTGTAGATGAGGCACTCTGGGACATGGTTTAACAGGCAGGATGTTGAGGGGCTTACGGTTGGACTCAATGTATCTCAAAGGTTTTTTCCAACCATAATGAGTCTGTGGTTCTATGCCTTACTCCATAGGACTGTGCTTTTGAAAATCCCATATTATTCTGCTTTTAAGGACAAGTGATCAGTCATATTTATGTAGATGTCTACATTTAATCAATTTGGTTCCTGTAGCCTGGCTAATAGGTATTTATATAAGTGTGTGTATCTGTGTGTATATTTATATCTCTATAAAAATACTGCTCAAGTTCTTGGCTGTAGGTACTTAGAGGACAGTGTAGGATCATTTAGGAATTGAGAATGGAAAATGCACTAATTTTGCACTTGAACTGAGCTAACTGTCACTAACTGCTCAGTAGGCAGGAGAATAGCTGAGAGAATCTGCTGTCAAGAAAGCCATGGGGTTACACTCCATTTCTAGCAAAAGCAGCCTTGTCAAACCAAACATAATTCAAAGAATATGAAGTTATTACTGCTCAGAAATGAACAACTGAAACACCCTTCGTGCACACTCTAAAAAGGGTCACCGTGCCAGCTTTGCACTGGTTTGAAAGCTGAAGAAAAAAAAATCCAAATAAATTGCCATAGCCCTAGTTATAAGGCAGGGGAGTGGTAGCCATGTTCCCTAACCCCTTTCTCTCTCTCCCTCCTTTCTTTCTCCTCTTTGTCTCTCCCCTCTCTCTCTGTCTCCCYCCCTTTCTCTCTGTCTGTCTCTTCACGCCACAGGGAAAGGTTTGAAACGGAACGTAACAGCCCACGCTTTGCCAAATTGCGCAACTGGCATCACGGCCTGTCGGCGCAAATCCTTAATGTTAAAAGTTAAAACTCCACGTGTAGCAGACGTAAACSTGTGAGACAGAGCTACATCAGAGAAAAAACTGCTGTCCTGACTTAACCTAAGAGTGTCACACATGTCACACCCAGGGAAGACTTATGTTAGGGGGTTTCTCTGCTTTGTTAGCCTGATAGCCCTTCACTGTCACCCAAAGTAATAATCCCACCCTATTCATGTTCATTATACAGTAGATAGACTTTTGTCCTTTACTATATCAAATCTAACTTCAATGTAGAATTAGAAGGAAAACATCACTCTTCTGCTTTCTTGACTTTAAATAAAGAAATGAGAGGAAAGTTATTCATAGCATTTCTTTAGGGTGGAGAGAGTTTAGACTTTTGCATTTCACTGCTGTAAAGATAAAGATGAGGGGGGAAAAAAAACAGTGAAAAAGAAAACGGACTTGGCCTAGCGTAGAGCTTGTTAAGTATTCAGCATATTTGCTTTGCATAGATGAATGATGTTTGAGATAAGATCTTAGCAATGTTAAGTTTATTTTTCTTCAATATGTTATTCTGTTAAGAATCATTTGCCAAAATCATTGCTCTCAAGTTTTCCATTTGAAATCTGAATTTGTCTCTAGATGAAAGATAGATGGAATGTGCTTGTGCAAGAACTATGAAAGAAATGGCATTTTGCTAGAGGTGATTTAGAAGCGAGAAGAATATATAGGGCAATTTGTG